TTTAACCAGATGCTCAAGAACATGCTCCGCAAGTTCGTTTGTGACTTTTTTCTTCAGTAGAACAGTAAAGAAGATTTTAAGGTGAAACCGCTGTCCTTGGCGTTTCATACAGTGGCACGTCTGACTATGACTGCCGGTTTATGTGGATCCTGACTATACATTGAGGTCTTACGAAGCGAAATATTTGGCCTGTGCAAAAAAACTGAACATTATTTACAACATTATTACCTTTAATCCACAGCCTGGGCAAACAGTGCTCAGCGCGTTCATGACTGTCTGAAGCGCAAACGTCCTCTGTCACATAGCACACACATAAGCTGACGCTGTTTGTTTACAACGAAGAGTGAGGACTCATGTGCAGACCTTCACCAGATGTACCAATGTCTAAAAAAACTGAGAGAGATGACCAAGAACACACGTGAGCTGACGCTGTTTGTTTACAACGGACAGTGAGGACGCGTGTGTTTTATTGTTCGTGAAAATGGTACTTGCCTCTGCTTATCCTGGATGCTGGAACAAATTTTATAAAAATAAGATTACGTTTGTGTCCGTGTCCCATTTGGGATGATTGACATTTCACAGATTTACAACATCTGATCCAAATCGACTCTACTTCTGTTGTCATCGCATGACATTCTGGTTTGAACAAGTAGGCCTGTGCAAAAAATTCCATGTCATCCTCTTTCACATCGAAATCGTCAGCCATAGAAACTTTTACGTTGTGTGCTTTAGACATTGGTACTGCTGGTGAAGGTCTGCACACGAGTCCCTATCTCTGTTGTAAACAAACAGCGTCAGCTTACGTGTGAGTATGCGCCTGTGCATATGTCATTATGCACATAAATTAATAAATCAAATCAAACTTACTAATGCTTTCCAATCTCATTTGCATAAGAAGTTGTGGCATGACAAATCTGCATTTTGGCGGATACTGCTTGCCTGTTGCATGGCGTGAATGGATATTCAGTGTTTATTTTTTTACAACATAAAACACCTGCAGAGAAATCTGGACCTAAACAAATAAATTCAGATGAAGGTGCCAATGCTGATGCCGTGCTTAATGACTCCAGACCCGGACAGTCTCATAAAGGTGATCCGCAGAACGCTTCGTTGAAGCGCCTCAGTCTTCTACATTTATGTCAGGAAGAGGACTTTTTACATCTAATTGTTATTTGATTTTCACAAAACAAAACCTAGACATAGATTTTACAATATAAACAATTTAATCTGTCATTTTCAGTAAGATTTACTAAATAGGCTATGAAGTGTTGGTGTGCCTGCTATTGCGCACTGAACTGGAATCAGGTCCAACCGATATCTGTTTTAAAGCAGTGGGTGAGAAATTCACTCCATGATTCGTTTAATAAAAGCCTATCTTTGTTGTTCTACTTAAGAAAAAAACGTCACCAACATCTTGGATGGCCTGAAGGTGAATAAATTAACAAAAAATATTTTTATTTTTGGGTGAACTATCCCTTTAAGATTGTTGGGTGCTCATGAACTTACCTGCCCTGTGAACCCCTGTCCCTCTGGAGACTGCAGAAAGCTGTGGTACACCTGGTTGGCCCGGGCGATCACAGTTGCGACAGCGTCTTGGTAGTGTGGAGCAGCAATGGCGAGCAGTGGTAAAGCGGCCAGAGGTAGATGGTCTACGCTGCTGGACACGCAACTCTCGTCGTAGCTGTAAGGGTTCAGACTGTGGAAGTGAAGTGCATGTTACTTTTCAAACTGATGATCTCTTCACAAAGCAACAGACACTAAACATTTTTGTTTCATTACCTCTCTGAACTTTAAGAGATTAAGTTCACCATACACTACATCAGCAAGTTTTTAAACGCTGGATGTTAGGCATGTGCCCCAGTACTTGAGTTGATGCCACTCATTGATGTCAAAGTGATCAATCGCTCTTTTTAAGGAAAATCCATTTATGATGGTAGCTGTGTTTTGGAACATGGTAGCTGATTTCTAGATGTAAACCAGCTAATGACCTTCTTTGACCAACTAGAATAACTAGACAAACTCATACCAGCTCAGACCAGCAGATGACCAATTTTGACTAGGTAATGACCAGCTAACGACTGTCTTAGACCAGCTAGAATAGCTGGACCAGCTCATACTACTAACAACCAGCTTGAAGTAGCTAATGACCACCGTAAATCAACTAATTACCATTTTAGACCAGCTAGAAACTGATTACCATTTTCCAATACATAGCTAACAGCAAAAGGGTTGGATATTTCAGCAGGGATGATTTAAATGCATGACTCAGGTCAGAGAGATGATGATGATGCAACATGAGAAGAAGAACTGCGGTGAAGACCGAGGTGCTTTATCATGCTGCACTGAATGAGTCTGCTTGAGTCCACAGATTAAAATTAAGAGAAAAATGAAAGATCGCCCTGCCCCAACATTGTCACTTTGAACAGCTGTGCTAACCTCAGAGCCATCGATCAAGCACAGTGATTAGCGACCTATCTATCTATCTATCTATCTATCTATCTATCTATCTATTTGCAAGGCCTTTAAACATTTAAACTTCAAGGCTTTCATTGTTTTGTTTGTTTTTTCAGAACTTTTTTTTTTTCCAGAAGGCTTTATTCAACCAACATTGAAAGTTTGAAGTTCTGGTTTAAAATTAAAGTTAGATTTTCATTTTAATTCTACTTCTTTACATTCAAATTCGAAATGCAATTCTGCATCCTGTTTGCTACCTCAATTCAAAATCAATGTAAATTCAAGTAATGATTTGGGATTTAACAAGTATTCTCAATTCAAATCTGAATGGCGCCAAAACCTGGCAACGAAATGGCAGTGATGTGCTGAGCGAAGATATGAAACTTCCCAGGTGTGTAGTTGTGATAGGCTGCTGCTTGGCGAAGTGTGGCACAGGCTACTCGTGAAAAATGACTGTTGAAGGTGATGCCTCCAAGTGGAAATGAACAAGTCCCAAATGGAGTCTGCTGGAGACCTGAAAAAAGTAGTCAAGCTCCTTTTATCCTATCCTTTTGACTGGGGGAACTATGTAGCTCTAGGAGGGCTGTGAAGGAAGTCACAGAGAAGTCACTTCTCTGATTATAATGACAACCCATAAGCTCATTGCAATCAGTCTTCGGTGACATCGCCCATGTTACACAAAAGCAGGTCCCATTTACATCTTACTCACAGGAAGACAAAGGCTGCTTTTTTCCTTCTCTCTTTTAATATACTGCTATTTTTCTTGTAGCATCTCTCCTAAAGCATGCAAAAATTTCCTCCGAACTGCGCTGTGGCTACTGACCTTTACCCTGAGTCTTCACAAGGCTAGGCTAATGCACTATGACCCAGTGTGAACAATAGTTCCTGTCATGTTTACGTGAACTCTCCTGGCTGGAGAAGGACATAGCCATTACAGTAACAAGCCTGCAGACCAGGGGCCAGCCCTATTAGACATACTCCACAGCAGGAGAGGGTTCAAAGAGCACCTCCAAACTGCTCAGTATGCCCCCTCTCCGGATTCATTATTTATTTACACAGTCTGTAATTAATGTTTGGCCCAAGCTAGCAGCTGGCATTGTTGCTGGGGTGCTGTTTTACCTCACTAACATGAATATAGCAGGTTGGGTAATGAAGTCTAACAACCTGTCATTTTTTTAAGGGTAATGTCTTTTCTGAGACTTTCTAGTTCTCATTACTTATAGGCAGCTCGTAAGTGTAGCCTTGTTGGCTGTTAGAAATGGCTGTCCTTCATGAAATCAAATGGTTGTAGTAAGAAGAATAACAATGATAAACTGAAATAAATTAAAATAAATTAAGTTACAAAATGTAACATAGATATAAAACATTTGCCAGAAAGAAACCATTAAGTCTAGGCAAGGCTAACATCAAAAGCAGTATATCTTTTTTTATATTCTTTGTGTTGTGGTTGGTTGCTATGCAGTTTTCTGAGCAGTTTTAACATGCCAACATTGTTGCTAGGCTGTTCTAGGTGGATACTAGCATTGATTCAGTGTTCTGTGTGGTCGCTAGGTGGTTACTTCAGTTAGAAGTGCCCATTAAGTCTAGCTAAGTCTGCTCCCTTCTTTGCTAGGTGAACATTTAAAGTCAGATTGCTTAATAACACCTCTTCTCAACAAGCAGCATGATTTGAGGTGTTATTCATGTCAGTAGTAGAAAAGGCATCTTAAGTGTCTTTAAAAGACATTAAAATGTCTTTATCTTTGAACTGCCTACACTTTTTACCAGATGGGAGTAAAAAAGAAATCTCACCAGAAAAAAACTAGTGAGGAAGCTGCAAAGAAATTCGAGAGAAGAAAGAAAACGAGCACTGAACTTTTCTGTTTGCCATGAAATTTTGATCAGATGTTCATCTAGTTTCCCTCCCTTAAGCTGTGAATACTAAGCTCTTGTACAAGAAAATGTTAGCTTAGTACTAGCAATTGTGAATTTAAAGAAGCAAAGGCCTGTAGTAAAAAAGTGAAAGCATGTTGCGGTACAATGGTATATTGATGCTGACAGATAATAATATTAGGGTAGTTTAAATTTTGGTACTGAATGATGATGTTGATTCAAAACATGGTGTTCAAAATAATACCATGATGTTACCATGTCCAAAAATACTGTAACATGGTACTTTACATGGTACTACACTAACTTTGTTAGTGAGACCTCCAAAATATCAGTTAAGCAAATAAAACAGTTTAAAAGTTTAAGGTCAGTTAGTTTTTTTACATTAATACTTCTATTCAGCAATGACATTCAGCAATTGATCAAAAGTGACATTTATAATGTTACAAAAGATTTCAATTTCAAATAAATATTGTTCTTTTGAACTTTCTATTCATCAATCAACATTGCTGAAAAAAATGTTTCATGGTTTCCAGAAAAAATATTAAACTGTTTCAACACTGATATAATAATAAAAAATGTTTCTTCAGCACCAAATCATCATATTAGAATCATTTCTAAAGGATCATGTGATACTGAAGACTGGAGTAATGATGCTAAAAATTCAGTTTTGTCATCATGGGAATAAATTACTTAAAATATATTAGAATAGAAATAGAAAACATTTATTACAAGTTGTAATAATAATTCACAATATTGCTGTTATTTCACAGTATTGCTTTTGAACGGTAATGTACCACAATTGTTTAAGTCTACCATATACTGTAACATCCCAGTCATGAGACATACTTAACTCTCTGTTATGAATGTATCCATCTAATGTCATATTAATCCTAGAATACTAATCCTAAAATGAAACTGGATTGGCTGTTCAAGAGAAGAATCTTCAAGATTCTTATAATAATAATGTGTCACAAAGTTACATTACATGTAATGTAAATGAACAAATAGGCAACGTAATGTGGAGCTCATAGATACCAAGCACAGCATATGTGCGATCTAGGTTAATTAAGTAATACTAAAACATTAATTCAAGGTTTAATATATAAGCAAAACACTATAAAAGAACATGATTACACAGGATACATAATTTTACATGTCTCAAGTGAATAGTAGACACAATGTTCTGGAATATGCATGTTTATTCATAGAAAGGTTTGTCTATGAATTTAGGTGGAGAAAAGGATCGTTCTTTGGGCCTGTGACTGTCTCTCACAGGGTCTGTTCCATTGCACATACCATCTTTCCACATACTTTTGAGCAATAAAACAGTCTTATCAGATGGTAGCCCTGGTAACTGAGCACTCCTGGAGTGATAGTTGCACTTTCGGGGGATGGTTCATGGAACTCGCAGAGTGGGTTTTGAAAATTATATAAATATAACAAATAATTGTGTGTCTGATCGTTCCAGCCGTTACACATTTTAGACACAATATTGGTAGTTGCTTTGTCTGTTTTTGCTCTGCCAATGTAAATAGCTCCAAACAAATGCAACACAGCACACCGGGCAACACAGAAAAATGTTGTTAAGAATGAATCAGTGTTTTTCAACAAATTGGTTGAATGATTCAATAACTTAGCCTACATGTTCTTGAATCAATCAGTATCTTTGAAAAAAACTGAGTGAATGATTCAATAACTCACTTGTTCCTGAATGAATCAGTATCTTTGAACAAATCAGTGGAGTAAATAATTCAATGACTCACTTGTTCCTGAATGAACCTGTTTTTGATTGAAAATTTGGTTGAGGGAATGATTTAATTACTCGTTCCTGAATATATTCGTATTTTTGAACATCGGTTAAGGGAATTGCTCAATGACTCACTTTTGCCTGAATGAATCAGTATCTTTGAACAAATCGGTTAATTGAATGATTCAGTGACTCACTGACAGTCAATTGTCATAGCCACCCACTGACGTATGTGACAGCCAATCAAATCTCCACCCCTAACGCACAGATTGACAGTTTGTGCAAACAAAATGAAATTGGAGGACCAAAAACTGTTGCTTAACTATATATGCACTACATTCTTCAATATATACTATATTGAAGGAGAAAACAGGTAAGGAAAGAAAGCAAACTAAGAAAGTATAAATGGTTGATAGACTAGTTAGCCCCATAATAAAATGTTTAAATGGTCAAAGATTCAGGCCTAGACTAACGAGGAGTTACAGGTTGTCTAGACGTGAAGCACATGAAGAATACTAAGCAAACTTACGCCATCAACGCTCACAGGTGGTACTGTCCTCGAGAGACAAATCAGTGTGCACCTAAGTGACAGAGCCCCAAATTGTTTTACTCCAGGAATCACGTATTGAATTGACTTGCACACCCTGCTTTGGTGAGAGAAAATCAATGTGGAAGCTTTTTTTCCAGAGTTGCTAATTGGAAATGCTGTGTGGAGGCTGCAAACACTAAGCTCCATAACATTCCGCCCCTCCTTTTCATTTGTGAGCTTCCTCTCCACAAACACTAATGCATGAGTGTCTTGTGTGTGTGAGTCGCTCCTTCATACGTGCACTGTAAAGCCACATCTGTAAGCACACCTCATTAGGAGAGGAAACTTCATTATGAGCCGTCATGGCTTGGCAGGACGGCCACAGGTCTCAAAGACAATTCCCAAAGCTCTTAAACTGAGGAAAAGAGAACCTACATGCATGGCAGCTGTAGTGTGACAGAAGAAGTGTGCGCTATAAAAGGGGCTCTAAACACAGCAGTGAGCTGTTTACATCTGAAATGTCTGTCAAGGGGGAGTGAGCCGTGAGCCTTAACTGGGTGATTCTCACAAAAACATATTCAGGTCACATTTCACCTCAACACTATAAAGAAAAAATAAGACATTTTGAATAAAGAAAATTAAGCCAGTAAAACAGTGACTTGTAATATAATTTTTTTTTCATTTAAATAAAATGATATATAATTAATGCTGCAACAACTAAAATCAATAATAATCAATAACAAAGGTACTTTATTTTGCTTTGCAGTGGCAAAAAAAAAAAAAAAAAACCTTTTTCCAGAGGGCAGCAGCGTAAACAGTCCATAATGAGGATGGGTAGGGTCTTTTGCAATGTTTTGAGCACGAGTCAGACAGCGTTTGTGTGCGAGTACCTGGATGGAAGGCAGTGAAGAGCCAATGATCTTTTCCGCTGTCCTCACCACTCTCTGTACAGACCTCCAGTCAGAGGCTTTACAATCCCCAGACCATACAGAGATGCAGCTGGTCAATATGCTCTCTATAATGCCTTTGTAGACAGTACTGAGGATGGGAGAGGGAAGGTGTGCTCTTCTCATCTGACGTAGATAAAAAAGATGCTGCTGTGCTCTCTTCACAAGAGAGGCAATGTTAACGGTCCATGTCAAGCTATCTGTGAGCTGCACCCCCAAAAACTTGATACTACTGACTACTTCCACCGCAGTGTCATTGATGATGAGTGGTGTGTGCCTGTGCTGCTTTTTCCTGAAATCAACAATGATCTCCTTTGTTTTTTCGACATTCAGGAGCAAGTTATTTGTGTTGCACCAATCCACAAGCTGTCTCACCTCCTCCATATAGGCCTGTTCGTTGTCATCCTGAATGAGGCCCACCACTGTCGTGTCATCCGCATACTTCACAACATGGTTTGTACTGAACCTGGCACAGCAGTCATGGGTCATCATGGTGAATAGTAATGGGCTCAAGACGCAGCCCTGAGGGGAGCCAGTGCTCAGAGAGATGATACTGGAGGTATGATTTCCAACCCTCACAAACTGAGGTCTGTCTGTTAAAAAGTCCAGTAGCCAGTTACACAAGGGGGTACCAAGGCCCAAAGGTCCATGTTTGCTTACTTAATGCTGGGGGATAATCGTGTTAAACGCAGAACTATAATCCACAAACAGCATTCGCACATGAGTGTTCTTCTCTTCCAGATGCGCCAGACTCAGATGGAGTACAGAGGATATGGCGTCCTCTGTGCTGAGCTCCTGGAGGCGCGCCGTGCAGAGCTAAAGAGTGACGAGAACTTGAGCGCCGAATGCCAACAAAACAGACATTTGATGCCGTTTCACTTACCGTCTGCAGTTCTGAATCAAGACCGGGATCTTTCATAGCTGGGACCGCTCCATCTTTCAGTATCAAACGAAAAACCAGCGTTGAACCGGGCCTTGTTTATAAAACGTTCAGGGGCGCGGGAAGATGTTTTCGGTTGGGGGTGCTGTGTGTGTCCCTGGTGTGTAGTTGTTTTTTTCTGTAAATCATTCTAAATGGTTATTCTCATTAGATTCTCACAACTTTAACACAGGAATTTTATTGTTTAAATTTGGACTGCAGCCTGCAAAAACTAACTTGATAACAAATATAGTGCATTCCCTTCTGTGACTTTTCCATGTGAAAATTTACAATAAAAAAAGAGCAGTGTCTTTAAAGACAGTTCATTTGCATTGCAATACTCTACCGTTCAAAAGGACAGCATTTTTGTTTGTTCGAAAGAAATGAATACCGTATTGTCCCGAATATAAGACGATGTTTTTTTCTTGGAAATACATCTGAAAAAACGCGGTTGTATTAATATGTATTCAAATAATACATATTATATATACTATATGATGATATATATAATACGTACATACATAGATAAATACATATATAAATATTTCATCATAAAAATGTAGCCCTGGTGAGCATACAAGACTTCTTTCAAACACATTCTTATATGAACTCAAACTCAAATGTTCTTCAAATAAACTTGAGTTGCTCAGCTAGTTCATAAAACCAACTCTCAAGAACAACTGCAACTGAATCTGTCAACATTTGCCCATAAAAATGAGTTTCATGCATTTAGCCAGATTCACCCGAGGGTGCTCCCACGACATCAGAGCAAAACATCTAATTATGTGGCATCTCTTTCATTGTGTATATGCACAATGAAGCAAAACACTCCATGCCAGGAAATTCAGCCAGTCTAAACCATGACAAAACAGTAGTGCTGGAAGGAAACAGTGATGGTATCAGATGCTAGCATATACAATGGTATTAACTTCAAAGAATACCATGGCCCATTTCCAAAAAAACATGGTCATTAAAAGTCGCTGTTAGTAATAGCTACTTACTTTGACACAAGGCAGAAGGCCTCTGCACATACGGCTGGGCACGGCACCAACTTGATGACGACATGCTGAGCTGCAGCTTGGAAATGATCTTGAGATACTTTCTCCAGCACTGAGGACAGGGTGTTTACATCTGCAGTCTTTGCACCTGCCTCTCCGCCCGCTAGGTCCAGTATGTTTCCTCCATGAACCACCAACACCAGCACATGTGTTTGACATTTGTTCTGGTAAACAAGGGACACGGAAAGGTCACGGCACAATATCATAAAAAAGAAAGCAGTAGCACACTGAATATTACAAAAAATCATCTTACCTCAGCTTCCTCTAGACCATCAATGCTAGTCTGAGGGACACATTTCGGCTTCCTTACACGGTACAGACTCTCTGACCCCATTAAGGAAAGAGCATGAGATGGATAGATGGGGATATATATAAAAAGAGAGAGAGAGAAGGTGATTAGCCACTTTGCACAGATGCACAGCAAACAGAACCACAAATGATTATCGATCCTACAAGCACACTCATCCTTCTTTCATAAATGATTTTACCTTCCATTTATTTTCTTCATAAGATGACAGAAAATGTAGTGTCATCATCAAAACCACATACTGGTACCATCATATTTCAAAACGCATCAATAGGAAACAGACAGAGCTTGGGATTTGTATCAGACAAACCCCTTCATTTTGATGTTGGCTGGTGTCATAAAAAAATAACAAAACCACATAACAAATTACACACGAGAGGAAGTGAACAGAACCAAAAAAAAGCCTTTTGATGTCTCTGATTCTCTAAATAAGACCACTGGCCTTCAGCCAAAGTCATTACACCTCACCGTCACCATTCCACGCTCTATTTTTTTTCTATTTGTAGCTTCCCGCTCCATTCTGCCATCTCATTCTCACACTAGCGCTCCTGTTCTAGCTGGCCTCCAGTCATTCTGTCAGCATGGAGCATTTGCCCATGCCTTCACAATGTCTTTTATCAGTCTATCTGCTTTTAGGTTGGGAAATGCTGGAAACTCACAATCCACAAGGTGAAAATTCAAGAATATTCAAACCCCCAGAAGTGGTTGTTTAAATTAACATTACACATATTAACTACATTACTTCTATTTGACAATGGCAAACTTATGAATAATAATAGCTGATTTTCTTGTTTTCTTTTCCATATTACTCACTGCCACATTTATTAATTCAGCATACTGTCAAATTCCAGGTATTTTTTCAATGAAGCTACTCTGCAACAGTTATTGAAGTCCAATCCCATCATTATGTAATGACAAAACCTCATTCGAAAAGAGAGCCAGTTAAAAGTTTGTACAAACAAACAACGCATTGATTCAAAATCCATCCTTTCGCAGACAAGCGTGGGAATGCGCTCGTATTTGAATTACTGAGATGATGTCATGACAACCCTCAGCTGCTATGACATCAAACAGACTGAGGCGATGATAGGCCAGAATGCTTCTCTTAAATGGCATATTCATTCACTTCTAAATCATTGGGTCTCCCAAGGAGCAATTGTGTTCATTGAAAAGCTGTACCGACTGCAAAAAAACCCTCCCAATAGTGAGAGTCCCAGCTGCAGGCTTTCATTCACAGCCGCACCATGAGGAAAACAGCCAGGGTGCTGAGCTGTGCTCTCTCCTGTGCTTAACACTGTATACATACTGCCAATCAGCCGCAGCATTATCAGGCTCACTGCCACTTTCTTACTACTGTCTGTCTGACTGCCTCTCCAGATGCCTATAAGACACAAACCAATTCAACCTACATAATGAGCCATACAGACCCTTTTTCAGTTAGTTAACATTGTGACATTTTTTTATGGGCGGAGCTTAGGTGGAGGCAGAAATATTCCCCTGACTGCTTCACAAACGCTACCTAACAGGTTTTGTTTGCTTGTTTTGTAACAATGACTGGAGAAAATTAGATGTTATCTGAATATGTAATGTCACTTTCTGTCCGTGTCATGGATCCTGTGCCTGCTCTTCCGTTCGCTCACCACCAGAGATCACCCGCTCATTACTATGGACTCTTGCACCACACTAACTGTTGCACTTCACCCCGGACTACATTTCCCATCATCCATTGCACTGATTACACACACGGCTGCAGCCAATCACACACCCTACATAAGCCATGGACTTCCTTCTCTCTCACTGCCTAGTATTGTTTGCGTATATCTCTCTCCTAGTGATAGCAACATTACGGAGCCAGTTTTCAGTCATAGTTTCCAGTTCTCGTTCCTAGTTCTAGTCTTAGTTTAGTCACGTCGTGTTGCCTGATTGCCTGTTTCTTGATCTCCTGCCTGTCTTGGATTATTCTCTTGTTTTGTCGTTTGGACTCTGTTTGCCCCTTGCCTGGATTATTGCATGTTTTGGATTACCCGTTTGCCTCGCCCACTGGATTACGTCTGCCATCGTTTGACCCATGCCTATATATGGATTACTCTATGTCTTGCCTTGTCTATATCTGTTTGCTGGTGTCTAACCCAAGCCTGTTTTGACCACGTTTGAAAATAAAGCTTTGCAGATGGATCCGCACGTCTCTCGTCTCGTTCGCCCCATTACAGTCCGGGACCGCGATTGTTATTTGAAATCGTTAACTTTAACGAAAGGAACCAGATTGGCTGACTCGTACACACACACTCAATGGATGGACGATCTGTCAGGAGTGGCCTGACACACCTACCAGAGAAACCAAGCGTGCATAGTAAATAGAAACTGAGGGCATATAAATCTTTAGATGCCTATAACTATGTACTAACAGAGGCAATTGTAAGCAAATGCAACTACCTGAACACACACCTGACATATAACATCGGCCTTCACTGTTCCCTCTCTCTACAGTTGCACAAATGGCAATTGTAGAAAGCAAGACAACACAAACGGTTTCCTTTATGTTTAGTCTCTGGGCGTTAGTTAACTTGTTCCCTAATTTCTGATTAGATGGGCATGCATGAGAAATCTTTAGACTCATAACAAAACCATAATCTATAAAAGAAAAACAGCTTATTTAACCTTAACTGATATTGTGCACTGCAAATGCGAGCATTTTAGATGATCGTTTCAGTTCAGTCCGCTCGTTTTATTGCGTTTTTTTTGTCTGGCAATGGCAGCAGTTATGCGATAAAATTTCAAATTGGAGCGTGTACTCCATCAATTCTGACACTCAAAGATGACATTGTAAGCTCCTTATGTAGCCGACGTCAGCACTAAAAGGGTCTATATATGTGGATCATTAGAGTCAGATAAAATGTCTACACTGATAGACAGACAGAACAACAAAGAAAGAACGATAGATATATAGAACAACAGACAAATAAATAGAACCACAGACAGATAGATAGATAGAACAACAGAGAGAACAAAAGAAAGAATGATAGATATAAAACGACAGACAGACAGACAGACAGACAGACAGATAGATAGATAGATAGATAGATAAATAGATAGATAGTCAACTTTGTGTGTTAATGAAATTCCACAGTATAGGAGCTTAATGCTCATCCGAGAGCAGCAGATTGTAGAATGCTGGGAACTCCCACAGTTTAGTTTCAATTGGATTCAAAAGGTGAGAAAGTGATGGCAAAGAGATGGAGAGAAAAAGATAACAAGCAATAACGACAGGACAACGAAATGACAAGGTGGGTGCCGAGCAAAATGAAAGACAAGATTACTGATTCCCCCTCCCAATCCTCACAGCCTCTGCTCCAGAACGTCACTTCTCCATAAATGCAATGGGGGACACTTTATTCTTATTCACTCTACTCTGGAGTTGCCCGTCTCTCTTGGTTTAGCTCATGTCCTCTATTTCCCACAGCAGCCCAGTCACCCAGCACTGATTTATAGCATCCTGTAGAGAAATACAGATTTAAGGGACAGGGAGAAAGACAGAGCAATTAGAGAAAGAGGACATGTGAAGAATGCGATAGAGAAAGGAAGGAGATTGACAGAAAGATTTGACCACTCCAAACAATGTAACATCTAACCAACAACTCTCTTCCTTCACAGGAACGAAACAAAGTACAAAGAAAAACAAAATCAACCAACAAGTAGACCTGCTCCCTCAGCTTCAAAGACACTCATCTTTTCTTGAAGGGCACTAAATCTCCAACAAGTTGACAATAAGTAAAACCAATTTTCAGCTGAAAAGACAATAAACCCTACAGGGTGAAATGTGTATTGACTGAGCCTGTTCCTCCTTTTAATTCCATAGTTTAACAAAACATGGATCTCTGCCAGACAAACCTGAACAATCCTGAGCCATGATAGTACTACTGTGGGAATATCCCTCTCTCCAGACTGCCAAAACAGATCCCAGCCCAAAAAACATAGTATGAATCATGGACTGAATCAGGTATTTTGACTCAAAATTAATCAAAAACCTTCATTAAAAACTGTGTTATTTGTCATTTTGGCAAGCAATAGTAAAATGCACATTTGTAAGCTGTGACTTTCATGTGATAACATCAAATATACAACAGAGTCATTAATTATATATACAGTATCTCACAGAAGTGAGTACACCCTCACATTTTTGTAAATATTTTATTATATCTTTTCATGTGACAACACTGAAGAAATGACACTTTGCTACAATGTAAAGTAGTGAGTGTACAGCTTGTATAACAGTGTAAATTTGCTGTCCCCTCAAAATAACTCAACACACAGCCATTAATGTCTAAACCGCTGGCCACAAAAGTGAGTAAACCCCTAAGTGAAAATGTCCAAATTGGGCCAAATTAGCCATTTTCTCTCCCCGGTGTCTATATATATATATATAATATCGCTGTGCTACTTTGTGTTGTTCACCAACAAAAAAACATTTACAATATTTTAAAATAATATTAAGTGTGATTTAGTGTAATTTAGCCTGAAAAAAGAAAAAGCTTGCTTGATAATCTGATAGATGGCAACAGTTGCTAAGGTAGGACTGGTCAGTAATACATGAGGTAGTGCAGTGTCAAGACAGAGAGAGAGATAAAAAGAAAGAGATCAAGGAAAGACAGAGAATGACAGAGCAACAAGAGAACCGAGCGACAGACAGAGAAAAAGGAGTGAAATGGATTGAGTGAAATAGATTGAGATTGAAAGAGATAGAGTGAGGGGGCTGTTCAGAATGCATATATGCATTTAAAGTGGAGATAAACATGAATGTGTTGCCAAAAATACACCTGGGTCGACAGCGGCCGCAGGCTGCCTTTAACTCAGCATCTGGTTGAGCTCATGCAGAGACTCAACAGAGAAGTGAAGAGTATAATTCAACTCAAGAGAGGTAGAAATTATTTCAATGAAATGTTGCTTGGATCACACAGCAACCCTCTACATTGTGAGTAAATCACTCGCAAATGCGACTAAATACCTATGACCAACAATA